AAAAAAAAAAAAAAAAATAGCCATCTTACATTTGGCGAATGTTGTTTCCACTTGAGGAAGTAAATTTGTCGTTTTTGTTTTTCAGGTCTCTTTAAAGAACAAAACCCATACGCGAAGTTTTAAAACAGCTACGTTGTACTACCTTTGGGCCAGGCAGTCCTAAAGCTTCCTGGGAGAGCTGCCTCTCAGCACAGCCCGCAGGCAGACACCTGCGTGGGTGAGCCTCCCAGTGTCCAGCTGGGACAGTGGGGAGCAGCCTTGAAGGACAATCCTGCTCCTGTCTGCACGCTGTGGCCTTCCCTTTTCCCTTACTGCTGTTTCTGTAGCTAAGAGCTTCAGACGTGAAACTAACTGGGTTTCTCTGGAGGAAATGTATTTGCTCACCACTTAGTGCAACTCAGTACAAGCCACGTTGGACACACCCTTCCTGGCTCCCAGCTGCAGGAGCCTGCCCTGCTTTGCCCCAGGGGCACATGAAGGTCACCTGTCTGTCGTCTGTCTTTTCATCCTGGGGAAGACTGATGTGTGTGTCTACCCATTTCTTCTAATTCTGGTGGCCTTTAGGAAAGCATCTGGGACACAGTACTTACTAGCCCATTTTTATTGAAAAGTTTTGGAGATAATCAAAATCACCTTAAGTCTCTTAAAAAGCATTTTAGATTCCCTCAAACAAAATATCACCAAAAAACTTAGATGTGAAATTTCAGGCCCTACAAGGTGGTATTTTTATATCTATCTTTAATAGACGATGAGTCACTTTCCCATGGAAACCCAGTTCTCAACGTGGTTTGAAGTCCTCTCTCAGGAGCGCCACCTGTCTGCCTCCTGTCCAGCTGCATTCACAGACGGGTGGTCCTGCGTCCTCCACGGGTCCTGGAACCCGACTCAGTTTTCTCCTCTTGTCGGGCTGTGGAGGGGCTCATCATGGGGGAGGCTGGGGGGGGGCATGTCCATCTAAGGAGGGTGAAGGCCATGTGGCCATGTGAATTGGAGGCAGGTGCGTGGGGTCCAGCCCGAGCAGAATCCCCACACTGCCCAGCTCCGTCACGCTTGACGTTGGCCTCTGGAAGTGCCTCAGTGGGACTTCAGCCCTCCACAGTGCACATTGCTTTAGATCAAGAGATGTGACTTTAGCAACCACCATATGCTTGCTGACAGGAAAGAGAGCAAGAGACATCCTCAAGTTACTGGACACTGAAGAAAATCAAAAATAGTCTTGCCAGATTGCTTTGAATTAAAACCTTTGGGAAGGAGGCTGGCACGCTGGTGGGTGTGCTAATAAGCTTTCAGATTTGTCCTGTGTGTCCGCCACGGTGCCTCCAGCACTTGTGATCTGTCACCTCACCCACATCTGTCACCACCAACGTGGCTGTCGGCTGCCATGCCGCTTCGCTCCTCTACCAGAGACTTTTCACAAACCTTTCATATGTTATTTTTCTGACTTTTTGGGCTTTCGATAACAATTTAAAGTATTATAAACATTCCAGAATATTTTATATTTTCCGATTTTGACTTTCTACTATTTGTTGATAAAAGAAACTGAGATAGACCTTAGTGAACTTCGTATTGGCACAGTAGTTCATGTAAAGTCATGCTGTGCGTCGCTTCTGTTGCTGTGTGGAAGGTAGCGGTGCATTTGATCCTCACTCTGTGGAAACGTGGCAGTCAGCCAGCCACAGGCCCGTGCCTTCCTCCACACCACACCAAGCATCACAACGCCGGAAGTGCCTTGCTTTCTAACCTCTTTCCAATAAAGTGGTTTCATACTGCTCTGATCGCCTGTATGTGCCATCTCTGTGGTGTGAGTGAGTCTGGGTAGGGCAGCAGGCCTCCACTCCAGGTGAGGGTGACTGCTGGATCCCCTCTGTGACCACCAGAGTGCTGACCCTCATTGCTCAGTCCACCGACCAGACCGGCAGTGTCCTGCCCCCGGTGTCTTCCTACTGGTGCTGGCACCTGGAGAGAGCCATGGCCATCACCACCAGCAGGCACCCCAGTGTGGTGCGCAGCTACTGACAGCCCCACGCCTTTGCCCCTCACCCGATGAGCTCTGAGAGAAATCCTCCGTGCCTCCCGGGGAACCACCCCTCCAAGGCTTGCAGATCCACTCATCCTGGGAGAAAAATGGCACGGCAAGTCTGCTTATTCAGTTAGTGACAATGCCCGTGCACATCAAACACTCTAGCTGGGGACAGGAAAATGGGGTCCCACTGCGTGTCCTCGCGCCCCTCTTCTGTGAAGGGAATCCCACTGCGTGACCTCGCACCCCTCTTCCACGCAGGAAATCCCACCGTGTCCTCGCACCCCTCTTCCACGCAGGAAATCCCACCGTGTCCTCGCGCCCCTCTTCCACGCAGGAAATCCCACCGTGACCTCGCGCCCCTCTTCTGTGAAGGGAATCCCACCGTGTCCTCGCGCCCCTCTTCTGTGAAGGGAATCCCACCGTGTCCTCGCGCCCCTCTTGCATGCATTTAGTGTTGGCTGTGCACTTGCTAGACTCGTACCACTTGAGTTGCTCTTGGAGCCCTGCTCTCTACCAGTTATTTTGGAGGCATCTCCTGGCTTTTTCTGCCCAGGGTGTCTACAGTCCTCTGGGTTTTAACCTCCTGAATGAGTAGGTGAGAACCTGTAGCATCCAGCTTCACATTATGTAGGTTTTAAAAACTACTTTCTTGTTCCTATTTTTCTAGGAAGTCATCCAATTTTTTAATCTAGACTTTAAATGCATTGGTATGAATATTAGCAAAAAGAATGCAATCTTGTTCGTTCGTTCTTTGGATGACAGGTCACCACTCCCAGGCGGCCTGTAAGGTAGGCGGCCAACTTAGGACCGCTACCTCAGGAGCAACTTGTTTCACACCGAAAGTGAAGATGCAGGGTCACCCTGACCACTTCCTCGTGGGTTTAAGGCACATTTCTAATCTTACTCCTGCTGCTTTTCGCCTATTTGGGGGTTATGGGCCTCGTAGATGTAGGGAAAGTCCTGGCCACTGAGCCATCCCCCTGGTCTTTTGTATTTTGCCAGATGTCTGTTCTTCGAATTTGTTTCCTCTCAGTCTGGAACTGGAGCCAGACCTTTCTCATTACCTTCCTGTCACAGGTCTCTGTTTGTGGTGCTGGCCTGGCGGGCAGGCAGCGCTTCTGCCAGGAGGACGGGATGGAAGTGGGTGCCCGGCTCTGAAAGCCATGCTTCGGGCCCCCACTTTCTGTTCGCTCCAGATGTGTACTCGGGTGGAGAAGCCCAGGCTATCCTGCTGTTTGGCTGACCACATGCCACACACCAGACGTGGCTGGGACTGCGGAGCAGCTGGCAGAGTGCGGCCACCTGAGGGAGCCCAGCCCACGCTGCCAAGGGCACCTGGTATGTCCAGGCCAAATTGCTCACCCGGATAACGCCTTCCAGTTAAGGTGCCAAATTTTGGATAGTTCATGATTCAGCAATAGATGCTTGATACTAGTAGAAGACTCAGCTAGTCTCTGCATTGGGCTCTTTGCAAAATACAAAACCAGTATTTTTATAAACTAGCCAAAAATGGTAAATGAAAAAGCTGAAAGTAAAATTTACAATAGGAGTCAGATGCTGCTGGTTGACATGAGTAAAACCTATCTATCAGGAGGCTGAGGGCTGAGGACTGAGGTTCAAAGCCAGCCAGAGCAGGAAAGGGTGAGACTGGTCTAAACTGCAAAAGCAGCCAGACAAGGCTGTGGCTCAAGTGGTAGAACACCAGCCTTGAGTGACCGAGCCAAGGGAGGAGAAAGTCCTGAGAACACACAACACACACAACTTACTGTAGCATTGAGAGCAAAACAATGTGTTTAATAAAGTCACTGAGAAGTTAAGCTCATACAACTGATTCATGGATCAAATGGTTCACGTTCCCTTTTTTAAATATAGTAAGACATTTTGATAAACTGCACATTATAAGCTGGGTGCCTGTGGCTTACACCTGTAATCCTAGCTACTCAGGAGGCAGAGATCTGTCTGAGGACTGAGGTTCAAAGCCAGCCTGGTCACAAAAGTCCATGAGACTCTTATCTGCAATTAACCACTGAAGCTGGAGGTAAAGCTGTGGCTCAACTGGTAGTACGCGAGTTGAGTGAAAAGCTCAGGGACAGCAGCTAGGCCCTGAATTCAAGCCCTAGGGGACACACACACACACACACACACACACACACACACACACACACAAGCTAAGCAAGAATTCAAGGCTCTTGTGTAAAAGCCTCAGTACTGGCACACGCACACTCACAAATAGGTATCTGTAACATGAAATTGACTATCTTAACTTTGTTTTTTCAGGAACATTGAGGAAACCCCCAGGGCCTCTAGTTTGCCTGGCAAATACTCCACTACTTGGGCCCACACCTCAGCAGCATCTTAAAAGCCATTTCTAGGTGAATAGTTAAGGGGGACTAAGTACTTGCATGTTTTGTGCAAGTCACCACCACTGGTTTCCAGAACTTGCTGATCTTGCAAACAAAACCTCTGAAGCCATCAAGCAACTCAGCTGCTGGCTGTGTCCGTCTGTCCGTCTCCACAGACACATGGCGTCCTGGGTAAGCATTCATCTTGCCTTCTTTATAGCACTAGCTTCTCCTTTACATGTGACATTTTTTCCCAGTCTTTCAACCTACTCTGCCTCTAGATCTAGAATGATCTTCTGGAGAGCATGTCCTTGCAGCATGTCTGTTCGAAATCTTTTCTCCTACTCTGTTTTTGTAAGTGTATTTGTTTTATTAGGTGATTATACAGAGGGTTTCAATTCCATGCATCAGCGTTTGAGTACAATGCTTCTTGATGCCCCCCTCCCCCATCTCTCCCATTCTGCCCCCTTGAGCTACACAGTTCAGTTTTTACATAGTGTACATTGAATATGATGACTGCATTTTCTCACTTTTTTGTTCATGTTGTTCCTCTCCTTTTACCCCCTACCTCCAACAAAACATGTTTCTGCTTCCTTGCATTCATTTTGTTCAATGCTTTGTTAGTTCAGAGGTGTTACACTGTTGGATTCTTCCCCTCAGTAGACTATCCTATATAATTTGTGTATATATTCATATATTATCATGCATGTTTTTATTTTAGATCTAACTTCTATATAAGAGAGAAAATATACACTATTTGTCTCTCTGAGTCTGACTTTACTTAACGTAATTTTTTCTAGGTCCATGCATTTCTCTATAAAAAACATTTTTTCTGATGAGTAATATTCCATTGTGTACACATATCGCATTTTATAGACCCATTCATCTATTGCAGGGCATCTGGGCTGTTTCCACAGCTTGGCTATTGTGCAGCAGTGACCATGGGTGTACAGGTGTCTTTATGGCTCTGGGCTGGTGATGTTCTGGGTAGATGCCCAGGAGTGGGTCACAGGGAAGCTCCAGGTTTAGTTGTTTGAGGAACCTCCAGACCGCTGTCCAGCATGGTTGAACCAGTTTATATTCCCACCATCAGTGCAATAGGCTTCCTTTTTTTATCCCCGTCAGCATCTGTTGTTGTTCAAGTTCTTAAAGCTGGCCCTTCTTACTAGGGTTACGTGGATTCTTTCCTTCCTTCCTTCCTTCCTTTCTTTCTTCCTAACACTTTAATGCTTCACTTTAAATCTTAATTGGCTTTCCTCCCCCCTCCTCCCCACCCCTGTCCTAAGGCTTTGGTCTGAACTTTGGGCTTGGGGCGCTGTCCCTGAGTTCCTTTTTGCTCAAAGCTAGTACTCTACCACTTGAGCCACAGAACCACTTCTGGCTTTTCTGTGATTAACTGGAAGTAAGAATCTCATGGGCTTTCCTGCCAGGACTGGATATCAGCTTCCTGAGTAGCTAGGCATGAGCCACTGGCACCCAGCTTGGCTTAATTTCAACAATAGAAAAAAATGTTCTGGGGCTGGGAAGGTGGCTCAGTGGTAGAGTGCTCGCCTTGCATGCATGAGACCCTGGGTTCGAGTCCTCAGCACCACATAAGCAGAAAAAAAGCTGGAAGTGGTGCTGTGGCTCAAGTGGTAGAGTGCTAGCCTTGAGCTGAAGAGCTGAGGGACAGTGCCCAGGCCCAGAATTCAATCCCCATGACTGGCCAAAAAAAAAAAAAAAAGTTCTGTCCCTATATACTCCTGTCCAGTTATTGATGTTACAAATTACAGCTTTTACATAACACTGTCCAAAACTAGAAATGAGTAATGGGTATTTTTTTTAATGCATTACTTTTTTTTTTTCAGAGTGTGCGGGTCCTGGGGCTTGAGCTCAAGGCCTGGGTGCTGTCTCTGAGCTTTTGTGTTCAAGGCTAGTGCCTTGAAGATAAGATAAGTCTTGTGGACTTTCCTGCCCGGCCTGGCTTGAACCGCGATCC